TTTATTAACAAACGATTCAGAAAAAGTTAAAAGCGATTTGCTTCAAATTTCGACTTTGTTTTATATTTGCTGTAGATGGTGGGAAAAATTCGAATGTACGTTAATAACTAACGGTTTTTTGAGCGATTATGTTAGAGTCAGTTCATTAGAACTGATAGAGTATATAAAATGTTTAGGAAAACTTATTATGAACGAGGAACAAATTGACGTGTGGTTTGATAATGATCCTATTGAATTGTTCGAAGATTCTTATTTTTTGATACGTTTTTTTCAAAAGTGTATTAAAGAAGTTAGAATTCATTGGAAATACGAATACGGAATGGGCATAAAAGATGTTACGTTTTTACATTTCATGTCACGATTACAACTGCCTTGTGCTAATTTTATAGTACTAATATTAAAATTAATAACGAATTTGAAAAAAAATCAACTTTAAAAGACTTGAAACAAGACGATAAAAAAAAGAAGAAATATTAAAAGATTGTCACGGTTTGTTATCTAGTTTCGAAGATTGTTTGGTTATCGATCACGATCATTTTTCTGGTGAAATTTACGGATTAGCTCATGATTATTGTAATAAAAATTTAGCTTGCTTTAGCAGCAAACTTTCTTGTCCTTTGTTTGCGCACAACGCCTCTTTTGACAATCGCATCATGATTGTTGAAGGATTGAAAAAAATTTTAGACGTTGCTTTATACGATAACGAATTAGAAGAAGAAGAAATACCTTTTAACTATTTTTAAAGCATAGCAATATGGAGAAAACATTTGTAATTTCAAAAGGTGCGCGCAAATTTAACGTTAGTTGCATAGGCAAACACATTAAAATTGTAGACACTTTAAAAATTTTAAACTGCTCCTTAGATCAAGGAAAGAGCATGTTATCTAAAAATGCTCAAAATCAAATTGTCAACAGCATGCTTCATTACTTGTTACCGTTTTATCCTCAAATTAATCAATTAGCGGACAACGAAGAGTTTAAAACCTGTTTTATAAAAAAGACTCTTTTTCCCTATTCTCATATTTCTGATACATTTTTAAACATTGAATACAAAAGAATACCTTCTATTGAATTGTTTGCTAAAAACGACTTGATGAAATCAAAAACGCTAGAAGACGAAATCAAAAAAATCAAAGAGACTTATGAAACTGTGACTAAGCTGTGGCATTTTTTAAACTTAAAAATTTAAAATCTTTGTTGCATATATACACTGTTTTGGATGCAGTGGTTTTAGGTTCAGTAATCGTCGATTTTGACGAAAGAACGTTTCAGTTTACTCGATTTCGCATGCTTTCGCATTTGAGCATATTTAGTTATATCAGCAAATTAAATTCAATGATAAGTCAAATTCAAATACAATATTCTCCGTCCGAAGAGCACGAACGCATGATTGAAAAAAGCGTTAGAGGAGGAATGTCAACAAAAGGTTCTCAAAGATATGCTATCGATACAGATTATTTTAAAAACAAATTAAAAGAACTGGGATTACAGAGCAATATTAAGGGTTGTTTGTTCTTTTTAGACGAAAACGGTCAATACGGCAGAGCTCAATTAAAACCCTTACCGTTTCAAATGAAATATTCTTTTGATTTAGAATGTCAAACTTTAAAAGATGTCATTGAAAAATATCATCGCGTCAATCCAAACGGTTTTTCCACAAGCGCATTAGTTCATTGTCAAATAAGAACGAAACCAGAGTATCAAGATAAAGTAGGTGGTTTTTCACCTATGGTCGAAAAGGAGATTATTCCTTTAAAAGATTATTCGCCTACAGAAATTGTAGTTAAAAGAATTTTAAAAAATAACGGACGATACACTATTGAAAAAGATAAAATTCCTAAATTAATAATGAAATTGAGTTTACACGAAACTTGCGAATTTTTAGATACGTTGATTTGGTTGACAACATTTTGCGGTTGCGTTGTTAAAAAAATATATCAAGTATTACCTTTATGGCGTTATCCTTTAGCCGAAAAAATGGTTAGAGATAATATCGAAAAAAGAAAAGAAGCTATTAAAAACGGTGATAAAGTAGTTGACGTATCAGCTAAACTTCAAACCAATGGACATTACGGTTACAAAAGTCAAAACACGTCTATCAAATTAACGAGTCAATTTTTTTAATCACGAAGAAAAAGCGTTTCAAAATTTCATAAATCAATTTCAAGAAGTGGTTAACGTTGTTACAAGTAGGTCATACGGATGATAAAATTAAATTGTTATTTCCTTTTCATTTCCAAAATTTGCTGTATAAAGACAATGAATTTGTTGGTGTTGATCCTAATAGATACAAGCTTGATATACTTGAAAAAAAAATTTGCATCGACGAATACGTTACCAAAGATTTTACGTACGATGAATACTTTATAGAATTTATCTTTAACAAAATCCTTGACGTTAAAACCAAAACCGTTTTATTTAGTGGTAAACATAACGATGAACTTCAAGACATTTTTGAACTGTTAAAATCTGACGTTAACATGTATAAAGATAGTTTTGTATTTGTAATGAGCGAAAAATGTGGTTTGTTTAACCAACAAATGCGTTATGTGGCTTCTCAAATACTTTCTTATGCTAAACTTAACGTTACGCAATTCGGATGGGAATTAGGAGAAGTGTTAAGAAGTCACGGTGCCAAAAAACATTTAGTAGTTACAGATACTGATTCTTGATGTTTTTTTATAACTAAAAAAACAGACGAAAAACAAGAAATTTTTCGTTCAAAAGTAGAAGAATGGATTGATTTTTCAAACATTGGTCAAAAATGGATGATTAATTCCAATTACCCAAAAAACCATGATTTTTATTCACCTTTATATGCAAAAGAAAGCGATCATTTTCAAAACAAAGTTCCTCCTCCGTCTTACATTGCACAAGTTTTTGCGATGGCCCCTAAGTGTTACAGCGCTCACATTATGAAAAAAAAAAGAAATACAAGACGCAGGAGAAAACGATCACAAAAATCGAGCAAAAGGTTTACCAAATTATCAATTATGCTATACGCATTACGTCAACGCTTTTAACACGTACAAAGCAGAAAAACTATTTAAAGAAATACCTAATCAATTAGAAAAAGAATTGCAACCTTTTGTTCAAAACAGAATGAATTTAAATTATAAATTTGTCACCATTAACGAACACGTTATCGAGTTTTTGAAAAAGTTTACTCAAAAAAATTATGTTTTTGACGACGAAATATTGACAGAAATACGCGATTGTTATTGATTAGATCTTATCCGAGAAGCCAATTTAAAAGTTTTACCCGATATCGAAAAATTTTGCAGCGACGAACACGAACAAACTTTATTATAAATTGAAAAAAACATTATTAAATCATCGGAACGATACAATACATTGATCACGTTTAATCGTGAAGTTTTAATTCCTCTATTATTTGATTTAAAAAATTATAAATTGTAAAAAAAAAATTTTTTTAATAAAAAAAATGGAGTTTAATTTGTTTGATCAAATATTAACTACTAAACAACTTGAAACTAAATTAATTGAAATTGGTTTTAAAAATTTTTATTTAATAGAAAATTCGGAAGGAGAAAAAACCGTTCATTATACTTCTAAATTAATATGTGTTAATCTTAACGGACGAATTCTCATACCTGATCTATTTTTAGAATGTAAAAACTTTTTTGTTTGTTTTTTTAAACAAACTAATTTTGTAGGTTGTTTTGAAGACAGTTGCAATATATGTATTTCACAATCTCAATCTAAAAATGTACATTATAACTGCGACTGTTTTTTAGAAGATATAAAAAATGAATAACGAAAAAACGGATAACGATAAAAATGAAGAAAACAAAAATTTAATTTACAACAATACCTTTTTGTTACAATTGTCAAAAAAAATAAGTATTGATTGGAAAAGATGTGGTAGATATTTAAACGTTAACGAAGAACAATTAGATTTGATTGAATACGATAATAGCAAAACTATAGATCGATGTTTTTAAATGTTAAAAACAAGTATATACGAAAACAAGTTGAATATGGATCGATTGTTTGACGTTTTGAAAATTTTGCCACGCAATGATATTAAAACAAACATTTTTAAAAAATATTATTGACTAATATATTTAATGTAAAAAAATTTTTTTTTTTATAAAGAAAATAAAAAATATATATATAAAAAGTTAGTAGTTTTTTTTTGTCATTAAAAAAACGGAAGAAAAAGAAGAAAAAACAATTGAAACTCCAATTGAAAATGATCCTCGAAAAATTGAAAAAAAAGAATCTAGAACGTTAACAAAAATATTAAACGAAAAAGGTTTTCACAGTTTTTATTTAAAAGGTAAAAACGAAGAACCCGAAATTAAAGATGAAACAAATCAAACAAGTCAAGTTAAATTTAATATTTTTAAACCTTCAAAAGACATATACCCAGAAAACACAGTAATAACGGGTCCTACTACCCAGCAAGGAAAAATACGTATATTATACATATAAAATACGTCTTTGTCCTACTCTTCGATACGTATATTCTAATTCTTAAATGCAAATCTATAATACGTATTAATTAGATGATTACAATGCGTTGGTAATAGACGTATAATATACGTATTTAAAATACGTCTCAGATATCTATAATTTAAGTATTAAATGCAAATCTATAATTCGTATTAATTAGATAAATAAAATGCGTTGATAATAGACGTATATAAGACGTATTTAAAATTATTAGGTTTCTATAATTTCTGTATTAAATGCAAATCTGTTTATTTATAGATGTCAAATCTGTAATACATGTTCGCAAAATGAAGAGTAGATTGTTGTATTATCTACCGTTGTATAATTATTGCGGAAATAGATTAATTTCTATCTTCGCAGCCATTGTTTAACCACAAAAATTGTGTTGTACAACCGACGTTAATTTGTGCAACTATGCTAGACAACGTTTCCATTATAAAACAAAGTTGTTACAGAACTGTTGTACAACATTTCTACAACTATTGGAAACCAAGCTTAAAAGAACATTAAAACATTTTGAATTGTATAATATTATTGTTTATTTATTTAAAAAAAGTAACTATATACTATAACATAAACTATATACATATAATATAATATAAATGTTAGATATCAATGGAATGGTTCAATCTTCCTGGTGCATTCTTTAGTTTATTCCCTACAACTCTAAATAATTCTTTTTCACTAACGGTATACCTGTCTTGTAACGCTTCTAAAATAAGTTAAGCAAAAATATTTAAAATTAAAAATATCGTCAGCTTAATATATATATAGTTGAATACGACACTTAAGTGTCGCATTTATCATTTTTGAAAAAAATGACTATGTACAATATAAATTGTATCTCACCAAACATAACGTCCTTTAACTTAAGGTTTTCAAACGATATTTTGTTTTCTCTGCCTTTACGTTTACTCCCTTTAATGTTCATATTCGCCATCAGGTTTACGGAAAATAATCTAAAATCGAAAAAATATTAAAGGTAAGATCTGAAGGTGAGATCTGAATGTTGTTAAATTCATTCTTGTTTACCGCTTATTTTGACTGTTATTGTATAAAAAAATGTAATTTAAAAAAAAGCTGCAACAAATTGTTTTAAAACAAATCAATCAGAATGCATAAAAAGTAAGTAGTGATTTTTTGGAAAACAAAAAGTGAAAACGCTATATTTTTCTTTGGATTTTACCTCAATACACTGAGTTTCTAAATTAAAATCCTTATTCATTTCTATGTTCATTTTAAAAAATGTGTATATTATTCTATATATTAAATCTACATATTATTTATCGTATATCTTACATTTTTTTACAAAAATTATGCTTTCTTAATTAAAAATAGAAAATAAAACATACTTTCCCAACATATTTCTGGTACAATCTGCCATATCCACACCACCAATATTCTTCAGTTTAGATAACTAAAAAAAAACGTTATTTAAAGCTTATTTAAGAAGTTTTCAACCCCTTTCTAAATAGACTGTTTAAAAGATATGATGTGTATGCTTTATTCAATATCCATTATTTTTTATGTATTAAAAAATCATTTTTATCTCTTTAATAATTACATTATTGCAAGAAATAAAAATCATTATAATTGCAATGATAACACAATTTAAAAAAGTCAATATTACCAAAAAAGTCAATATTATTAATTAACATATATATAAAAAAAAAAGCTTACAATTGCTTTTCGCTGCACATCATCCTTGATAACTTCTTCTAGTTCATCGAGTTGGTCAGAGTTATTAATTTTTTCGATATGAAATTTACTATTTTCTGGGTCCTTAACCTCTACTAATTTTGAAAGAAGATCTCTAATTTCAACAAGATACCGAAGCGACTTGCGTTGATACTCTAGAATATTGAAAACGTTTTTGTTTAAATTTTTTTTAATTGTAAAATTTAACATTGTATCTAATGATTTAATAATTGATATAATAAATTTTAGCAAACAATTTTTTTTTAACTATTTATCAAATTAAAGCCAAACTCACTTCCTTTTTCCATTGGAAACGGTTGCTTTTCTTTTTCTAAACAATAAACTACTTTTCAGATCACATTTAAATTGGAGTCGATTAGAGTGTCAAAACAAAGTTATACACTTACTTGACTTTTTGTCACATTTAGTCACAGTACAGTGACTTGGTGATTGAGACTGACTTTCTTCTTCCAATGGAAACTGTTGCTTTTCTTTTTCTAAAAAATAAATCCCTTTTTCAGATCACATTTAAATTGGAATTGATTAGAATGTCAAAACAAAGTTTTAAACTTACTTGACTTTTTTTTGCGTTTAGTAACAGCATGGTGACTTGTAGATTGAGACTGACTTTCTTCTTCCATAGGAAACTGTTGCTTTTCTTTTTCTAAACAATAAATCCCTTTTTCAGATCACATTTAAATTGGAATCGATTAGAGTGTCAAAACGAAGTTATACACTTACTTGACATTATGTCGCGTTTAGCCACAGCATGGTGACTTGGTGATTGAGACTGACTTTCTTCTTCCAATGGAAACTGTTGCTTTTCTTTTTCTAAAAAATAAATCCCTTTTTCAGATCACATTTAAATTGGAATTGATTAGAATGTCAAAACAAAGTTTTAAACTTACTTGACTTTTTGTTTGGTTTAGCCCCAGCATGGTAACTTGGTGATTGAGAGTTTATATTTCTTTTTTTATTTAATCGAATAAAATCTACTATCTCATCATCATCAGATGTTGCATCTATTGCAAAAAATTGTTCAAATATAAGTAAAAATAAATAGTATCTAGTGAGTCATATCAAAATATATGAAAATATATAACTAACATTCTCAGTTGATTTTTTTTCTCATTTTGCTGCATTTAAGTAAGGATTTTATATACTTATTTACTAGGTGAGCTAACTTCACTATGGATAAGGACTTAAAGTTATTTCTAATTTTAAGAAATTATTTATAAATAATCTTATTACTGCATTACCTGAATGTAGTGTCAGATCTTTTACTGTTTTATCTAAAAATGAAGCATTGTCATTGATGATGGCTACAGTTTCTGCTTTAAAATAAACGTCTAATGTTAAAATATTATTTGATGATGCAAAAAAATTAAATGAACAATAATAGCAAGAAAATTATGAAAAATATGAAAAGGTTAATAAAATACTTTTATTTTCTTTGAGGATGTCGATTGACAGTTTGTAGGAGGAAGGAGGTTTTGGTAGTAAAATAGGGACATCTTTGCTGATTCCTGTTAGAGATATCAACAGAGATAAATAATATATTAGTAGAATTAACATCAAGATAATTAGTGTGGAGGGTGCAACCTAATTTCAGCTAAATCATTAAAACAAGTTTGAACCTGAGGTCACTTGATTGCTAAATTCATCATCAGTGGTAACTTGCTCACCGCAAGATGTAAAATTAAAGTCATTGCACAACTGTCTATCTTCTGGAAATATGAAAACAGTTGAAATAAATTAGGGATATAAATAAACAAATAACAAAGATGAAAAGCAAATTGTTAGGAAAAAACTGATTAAAAAAAACTTAACTAAAACAAAAAAAAGTTAAAAAAAAAGAAATAGGACTTGCCATCTACAATTTTTGTTTTTAACCATTTAAACTTTCTCCATGATTCATGGTCAACCTCAATATTTTCAGAAATGGCCCTCTGAACTGACATTGTAGAAGGCCAAAAAACAACACTCATTTCTTCATTGATCCAATTTGCAGAAAGCACATCTTCAAAAAAGGAATTTTCATTTTCTTGCCACACAACCCTTGCCCAAAGTATTTTTTTTAGCTTAATATTACAAGCCATTATATAAATTAAGTATATAACCTAAAAGAAATAACTAAATAATATTGACAAATTGATTCTTTTATTTATAAGCAACCCAATAACAGTTTAAGTTAATTCAGTTAAATTATACTAAATTCAATGTTTTATATAGCTTGATTTAAATGTAACTAAAAAAACGACTTTTTTCATCCTTTTTAATTAAATTCAACAAAGAATAACATTGTTTTAAACAGAGTTTTTTCATCCTTAATCAATATTTTATAAGATTAACATCATATATTACATTGCTGATACTTCAAAATTACACTTCCAAATAAAGTTTCTATTATTGACAAACTTTTAAATACAAAATGTTATAGTAGGAAAAAAAAAACTTAGAACTTTTCAGTATGCAATAAAGGAAAACAAACATAACCATTTTTAAACGGAAGAATTACTACCTTATTGATAAGCTCAGACTTATGTATAGTTTCTTGGTGCACGCGCAACTTACTCATATAAGGACAAATGCAACATTCATTTCTTTTGAATCAAACGGAATATTGTAAAAAGAAGATATCTGATTTAATCTAAATTTATCACAAATATAGCGGCCGCAATCCAATTTTTCTTTCAACAAGCAAAAAGTTTGATCTTTAATAAAGAAGCAAGAATCCCGGAATCGAAGTGATATTTCAACTGAAATGGTCTTTGTTGATTGAAATGTTACTTCATTAAACTCAGCATGCCGTTTTGCCACCTGAACCACAGGATTACTTGAATTTCGTACATACTTTTTTAGTTTTTGCATATAGTTTTCAAAAGGAAAGGCTGATATTTGATTTAGTGAACACCCCATATAAATAACATCGTCGTGTATATGGACTAGGTTGTGTACATTGTAAACGCAGAAGTCATCACCATATATGTCCTTTGCTGACCTAACAAAATATACAAGCAAATTGTGTGCATAAACAACAAAATGATTTCTGAAATCATTGTCTTCAGTCAAAAGTATTCTCATAGCAACATGAAAACACAAAAAATGTACATATGTTTTTTTGGAAACAATGCTTTTTAAAACTAAAGGCCCTGTGTATAGTAAGAACTGCCTAAATTCAGTAGCTTTCCAAAATGGTAATTCGGACAATGATCTAGGTTGCCGAACAATATCAGAAGGTAGCATACCATTTAAGGCCACTAACCTTGCAGATAAGTCTTGAACTTGTAAATTTGATAGCCTACAGATTCTTGGCCCTTGCTTTAAAAATGTTAGAATTCGTTTCATCACTCCTAAACATGTTAAATGCATGTAGTCTAAAATAAAACTATCAATACAAGAAATTTGCAAAATAATTAGAGGAGTGTAAAACTTTTGGTGATCTTTGTACAAGAAAGCATTAAACTGATGTGTTTCTCTCGGCAAACAATTATGGAAATCATTAAAGACAATTTTATGGTTTTTGTATGTACCTTTTGCTTGACAACGTTCACAAGAAAAATATCCAGTTTGGCCAATAATACCTTTGAGAAAAGAGCGAGCTGGAGCATCACAAATAAAACCTTTTATTGAAATTGGATATCTCTTACCTTCATACAATATTCCAGAAAACTGCAATAACTTTATCTCGTCTATAAACTGAGAAAGAAACACTTCTACAGAATTTGGTTTTGAGAACCCACAAAACAAGCCAATCAAAAAAACATCTGAATGCAAAAACCTCCCTAGAATAGGCCATAATTGTTTTTTAGATGATTTAAAAAGTGGAAGACCATCAATATTAATGAGCAGCTGAACACTATCAACATTATTATTTTGAATTTTATTAAGCTCACTCACAATTCCAACTTCAACTCCAAAATAAGTGAAAAACCCTCCTGCCTTTTCTTCAAAGTCAATACGCCTAGGAGTATTTAGAAAAGTTCGACAATTTTTTGGTAAACAATGCCCTTCACTTATAAGCAATTCAAGAAGATCATTTGTGCAATTATTACTTAATTTATACTTTAGTACCAAATGTCTTAATTTTTGATTAAATGTTAAAGCATCTTTTATAGGGAATATTTCTGGATTACCAATTGATTCAGCCGAAGATATATAATTATCATAATATCCAAAATCAGAACTACTATTATGATCAGACAAATAATTAACTTGCTTTTCGACGATGTCTTTCAAAGGCTGTGTTGTTGGTATATCATTAGTGTCACTGTCATTGCTGGTTGAATCAACAATATTATCTAAAATTGCATTTAATCTACGGTACTTTTTGAAGTATGCCATATTTTATAATATTGAAAAAAGCTAAATAAAACTTTTGCAAATATAAACGTTTCTATTAACTTATAACATGTGTTAGCAACAACATAATGACAAATAATAACATAGTTATCAACAATATTAAAAAAAAAAAATCAAATACTAAAAGCAAACAAATATATTAAATGCACTCAAACAATATAGTGCAAAAAACAAAGTTTAAAATAAAGTAAACTGCAATCATAAAACCAAATCATGTTTGATTTAAGTAATAAAAATAATATATATTAAATTATATATATAATATATATATATATATATATATATACATATATATATATATATATATATATATATATATATATATATATATATATATATATATATATATATATATATATATATATATATATATGTTATATATATATGCCTATATATACTTATATATACATATATATATATATATATATATATATATATGTATATATACTTTTATATACATATACTGATATATATGTCTATATATACTTATATATATATATATATATATATATATTTATAAATATATACTATAAGTATATATAGTTTATATATTTTATATATGTTTATATATATATACATATATATATATAGTATAGTATATATTATTAATATATACTATAATATATATATATACATAGTATATATATATATATATATATATATACATAGTATATATATATATATATACATATATATATATATATATATATATATATATATATATATATATATATATATATATATATATATATATATATATATATATTATATATATATACATACATACATAAAATATATACATATATATACATACATACATACATATATATATATATATATATATATATACATATATATATACATTATACATATATAATATATATATATATATAATATATGTACATATATTATATATATGTATGTATGCATGTATACATATGTATATATTTTATATATGTATGTTATATAAGTATGTTATATTATATGTATATTAAACATATATATAATCAGTGACGGATCCAGGGGAGGGGATGGGGGTATGCATCCCCCCCCCCCACCAGAACATAAATACCCTGAAATAATCGAAATATTGAAACTATTGAAATAATCTGCGCTCTCGATCTTAAATTCTAACCACTTTTGGTATCCACATCCCCCCCCCCACCAAAAATTCCTGGATCCGTCACTGTATATAATATATATGTATAAAAATCATCAATAAGATACAACGTTTGCTCACACTGTTTGCCATTTTATTTTATTCTGGAATACTTTTTCCCGCTTCTTTAATGCAATTGCGTAAGATGATTTCTTTTTCAAGTCACTGGGATATTTGGAAAAATTATTTTATTTAGTAATATTTTTCCCACTTGTTTTATGCAATGTGTTTAGCCTTTTTTTCTTCTTGAAATAAAACTAAAGTATATTGTAAAATTTATATTGGATAACAAGCCTCAAAAATTGTCATTAAAATACCGCTAAAATTTATATTGGCCAATATAAATTTTAGCGGTTTTGTAATGCAAATTTGAGTTGTTTATATCGTATAAACAAATCAAATTTGTATTACCATCTGAACATAATTAAACCACCTGAACATAATTAAAAAAAAAATTATTTTAGTTGTTGATACCGTATCAACTACTCAAATTTGAGTATATTATTTTATTTCAAATTTGATTATATTATGTATACCGCATTATGCATATATGTTGAAAGAGTATATTTTAAATAAAAAATAGATGCGGTTATCATATAGGTCATTCATTATCTTGCTGCGTCACAAATTATACTTTAAAATACTACTACTTTATTCTATATGAAAATCGCAAGGTTATGACGTCAATTTTTCAATTTTTTTTTTTTTTTTTTGATATGTTTAACCCTTTGAGCACGGGGAGCCACGATCGTGGCTATACCGTCAGAGCACGTAGAGCCACGATCGTAGCTTTAAAAGTGTTCATCAGAACTATGACTTTTTCTACAAAAATACCGTTGTTCATAATTTAAAAATGGTACCATTGAATAGAGCACATTTTTTTCTATCTTTTGGTATATTGTTTGTGTATATTTTGTATTAAAGATGAGTGACAGCGAAGAAAGTTTTACTGAAGAAGAAAGTTGTACAAGCGAAGAATATTTAAGTAGCAGTGATGATAGTTTATTTGATGAAGGCACAATATTTTTTATTAAAAAATTGTATACAAATTTATTTAATTTAAATATATCACCAAATCTAAGCATTTGAAGTTTTTATTTTTATGTAGACTCCGGTTCTGATGATGATGCTGGTGTTGATGATGTTTTAGATTTGTGGCTTCCTGTTGTAGGAGATGACAATGGCCCTAATGTTTTTGCTTTTACTGGTGTACCAGGACCTAAACATACTATTTCACCAGAATCAAAGCCCATTGATTATGTTGAATTATTTTTCACTATAGAGTTTTTGGAAAAGTTAGTAACTTATACCAACCAGTATGCTGATGCATGGATACAAAGAAACCAACAGCATTTGAGATCTCATCCATTGTCGATCGGTCATGTATGGATAAAGCAAGGAAAAACAAATCTTTTAGAAATAAAGGTATTCCTTGCTGTTGTTATCAATATGGGTCTAATCAAGAAAGCTAGTATTAAACTATATTGGGATATTAGTCATCCTTGTGCTTCCACTCCCTGGTTTGTTACTCATTTCAATCATGACTAAATAAGATTTATAAAGTTCAGTATTTAGTTGAACATTTTAACAAAAAATTTCTCTATTTTTATATTCCTCAAAAAGATATTTCTTTAGATGAGAGCATGATTGGTTACAAGGGAAAAACACCACATCTCCGCCAATATATGCCAAACAAGCGTCATTCTCGATTTGGAATAAAATTATGGTGTGTTTCAGACAGCACTAATGGGTATTTAT